CTAAAATAGGTAGCTTACTGAATTGTCCCGTTTACCCCTAGTTTTTCCTAAACCCAAACTCGTTGCTGTCAAGTTGATTATGACTCCTAGCGACCCAACAGGACAGAGTAGAACTGCCCCACTGGGTTTCCAAGGAGCAGCTGGTGGATTCAAACTGCCTACCTTCTGGTTAGCAGCCATAGCTCTCTCTAAACCACCTGTATGAGAAAGGGCTGATTTGTTTATTGTCTTTGCTTAGGTGACTAAAACGGCTCATGCATATCTTAGCGTAAGAGATAGTTTACCTCCATTGCTATCATTTATAATTTCTGGCCAGAGTGGGCGATACACTTCCCTACATTCCTAAACAGAATTTACTAGCCACCGTTTAATCTCTCTTAATAAATCACAATCATTCGTTTGATGTACAAGTTGTATAATCATGGCGAAATGTCTGCAAGGGCTCTTCGATGTGCCGGGTTGCCTGCCCTGTCAGAGAACGGCTCCAGGCTGCTACGCTTTTTCACTTCTCATATATATTTTTTTAATAGTTTATCTTTCTGCTCTCTTGTTGTCAAGCTGTCAGTTAGCTGTCACTTTTTACTGCTGTCAGTGAGCCTGCCTTTATCACACCCCCAATCTGATGCTGCTAATCTGCTGTCAGCTGAAAAATCAGATAATCAAGACCTCTGAAATTGCATTTACAGTATGTGGTGGGCTGAACACCGGGTGGAGATTTTGAGACATGAGTTCCAGTTCCTGTTCAGTCTTATGTAGCTGTGTGATTGCTGGGAGACACAACTTCCCTGGGCCTTGGTGCCTTCATCCTTCTAGTGAGGAGCAGAGGGTGTGTGTGTGTGTGTGTGTGTGTGTGTGTGAGAGAGAGAGAGAGAGAGAGAGAGAGAGAGACAGAGAGAGGGAGCAATATCAATCTCATTTAGATTTAAATTATAAGTTTCTCTGGATGCCACAAATAATATATGAAACTTTACTGTGAGTTAACATAATGCAGGGTGGGGTACCACTGATCTTTTAACTGTCAAATTCAAAGACGCTTTTTAGTCATCATCTTACTTAACCTTACTCCTCTGAATTCACTACTGACCTTCTTCTTAAAGCCCTTCCCCTTTGTTCCATAGGAGTATTATTCTCTCATTGTTGACCCCCTGGCTCATTTACCTTTTTTTTTTCTAATTTAGTCTTGGGTTCTTCCTCCACCAAACCTTTAAGTGTCAGAGTGTCAAAGGCCTCTCCAATGTTAATAGGTCAGGCAGGGTGAAGAAGAGGAACCTGCAAAGGAGTTTGAGAAGCTGCAACCTATATGAAAATCAGGGAAGTGTGTATTCTGGAAACCAACTGAATAATGTTTCATAGTGTGCAAATTCTGTGATGTTAAAGAAGATGAGTACTGAAAATTGACCGCAGAGTTTAGAGGCATAGAAGTCATCAGTGACCTTGACAAAAACAGCTTCAGTGGAGTAGCTTCAAGAGAGAATGGTAGAGATGAAAATGGAAGCAGTAAATATAAACAACTCCTTAAGGATTTTGCTACAAAAGGAGAAAAATGAGGCAGTAGCAGAGGGGAGAAGTGTAATCAAGAGAGATTTTTTTTTAAAGGATGTAAGAAATAACATTTTTTGTAAGCTAATAGAAATGATCCAGAAAAAGGGAAATAAGAACAATCCAGAAGAGAGGAAAATTGATGATGCAGAACAGAGAAGAAAAAAATGCTAGAACAACAGTCCTTGATTATGCAAGAAGGATGGGCTCTGGTAAGGAAGTGAAGATGGCGGCCTTAGATAGAAGGCAGGTCAGTTCATCCATAGTAACAGATGTGAAGATGGAGATAGGTAACTGAGTAGACTGGTAGTGGCAAATTATCCATGTTCTCTTTTGACTGTTCCAGTCATCAGCTGAGAATGAAAACAGAAGCTTTGTTACTGGAGATTGCAAAAGACAGGAGAAGGCATGATTAGTTCTCTGGAAGAGGGAAAATGTGGCATGCTTGTCAGGCAGCTCTAAGAATCCACCAGAATTTAAGAGTCATGCATTTAGAGTGGAGCTAAAAAGTACGGCTGTATGTTTTTCTCCTGTCACGTTCAGTTGTGAGTGTAGGTACACAGTAGGCAGAGAGTTACAGTAAGCCAGGCATGGAGTTTTGACAATCAAGTAAGAAGTAAGAGATGCAAAAGATTTAAGAACATACTCAAAAGAGTGAGTATAATGATGAAATATGGAAGTTAAGTTGGATAAAGAAGGAGGAAAGTTAGGACAAGAGAAAAACAAAAGAAGCTGGCTCAATCAATGGATAGCAGGTTCCGGGGTGGTCAAAAGATGGCTTGAGTCAGGGTGATAAAGGGAATAAATAAACCAACCTCTTTATTTATATCAGGCTGCACCTTTGGCCGAATAGTTCTTTATCTTCATGAGTCAATATAAGGGGTAGAAACTGTCCTCCATATTCAGGTGGCAGTAAATGTAATCAGTTATGGGGATGAGGAGTTAATAAGATGAACTGATCTTTATTGAGGGTCCATTATATGCCAGGTACTGTGGTAGGCATTTGACATACATTATTTAATTTAGTCAATATATCATCCCTATACAGTATTCCCTATATGGTAGTAAGGTCAATATAACCATAACCATTAAAAATCTATGCTCAGGGTCATTACACTTACACAGGTCACAGAGCTAGTAAATGGTGGTCAGGACTCAAATACATGTATGTGTGTCTCCAGTGTTTAAGAGCTTTCTGTGCTGTATCATGCCACTCTGACAGCCCAAAATGTTTAATACATGTAGTAGTGAATATCTCTCCTGCTACTATTTTTCTGGTCTTTGGGAGTGAGGCAGGGGAGAGGCAAGGAGGGCAACAGGGAGCAGAAGGTGCCACAAGTCCAATATTACTGAATGCCTATGTGACAGACATGCTCTAATTTTAACAGCTATCAACTCTATAAATCCTCATGTATTTCACCGAAATGTGGATTTTCCTCTCTCGGACTAATATCCATTATATCATACTATATATTATTATAGTATATATCAATAATTTCATCATATATTCTGCTTTATTTTTCCTTAAATTCATTTTTTGCCATGACCAAATGATATCTGTATAGAAAGACAGAAACATTCAAAACCGTGGTTTTTTAAATCACCTTAGTTATTTTGCCTTTGTAATTACTAAATATTTTTCAACATCTCAACAAAATAATACTTTTTCAAGACTGCAGGCATTAGAATAATTGTCATTCATGCAAATAATCACTTACTTACACTATATGAGTTCAGGATGGATAAAGCAAATTACCATTTGAAAATAATTCAAATAACACTCTGGGCTAAGACCTTGCTTATGAATGTTATCTTGGCCACAATATTTCTTAAACGTCTTCCATTTAGCTAGATTTCTTTATGGTAATATAGTCCAAATTAATAAACTATTCAGTTGCCACAGGTGTATTAAACATACGATGATGTACAAACATATCAGATGCAAATACATTTTAAAATATATAATTTATTTGGAAGTCTATAGCAGTAATAATTAAGATGTGCTATAACCATCTACTCACTTAAAAATGTACATTTTTGCCAATGTATTAGATGAAAAAAATATGTCAAAAAATAAGTTTCATTTTGAAGAAACCCTTCAGATATATAGTCGCATTTTAGCTAATAACAGATTTAAAGTGTAACACTTATTTTTTTAAGTTGAAATTCTCTCATCACACGTAGGAAAATTAGATATGTACATATATAGTTCCACATAGCTTTATGATTTTCAAAACTCCAAATAAATCATTAAATGCTTTTGACAAATGACCTATAATGACAGGAAGCTTGAGCAACAAACAGAAAATGGAATCAGAAGTCAGAGGGTCTAAAGTTTAATCCAGTCTGTGACAACAATAAGCGGTATAAGTGCAAGCCAATCTCTTTACTTCCACGGGTATCTGTCTTCTGAACTCCATAAGTAAAAATTGGGCAAGGTGATATAACTTAAATTTTATGACTCACTAACTTGATTTAGTATGAGGCAGATTTTTCTTCAGTGAAATATTAATCAGGGAGACACTAAAATAAATTAGCATTTGGAGTGTGGATAAGGACTATAGTCCCTACAGCAAAATCTGGATGAATTCATTAAGCACAGAGTGTAGAGACTAATGTTGACCTCCTGCATGGCATGTATGGACATTAAATTGTTTCCTGCCTTCACTGCAGAGGTAGGGAAAAACAGCTGCCCCCGAATTCTTTTTAAGGATGTAGTCAGTTACAAAACACTAGCATCCCCAGTTAGTGAGAGTCCCACTGAAGTAAATTTTCTATTCACCAGGGAGAAGTGTTCTTTGTGGTAGTAAAAAAAAAAAAAGAAAAAAATTGCTAGGTTTAATCGAAAGTAATTCCAGAATGTTCCCTTTGAGCCACATCATCCATTGATAATTCAGGATGGGCCCAGCAACAAGGGTAATAAAAAATGTCTTCTCAGTAACTGAGAAAGAGAAACGGCAATTATTGAGCACATTTTCAACTTAACATAGAAGATTTAACTCTTTATTAAGATATTTAAATAATAAAAATCACAGGAAGGAAAAAATAGAAGAAAACAGCATAGGAAATGCAAGTAATCCAAGCAGTGAGATTTAACACTGATTTACTTGGAACATATACATATAAACCAATGAGCACGTACAGATTGCAAAGGTTGAGAAAATGCTTGACAATGATATCTGTAACAAAGAAAGAAAGAAACACAACAGGAAGTGCTAAAAAGCCAAAGCACCTTGCTTTGACAAACAAATAAAAGAAAGGAAGAACTCAATATTGGAACTAACTATTCAGCGATAAGCTGGACATTTGATTATTTAAAATCTTTGTAAATCACAGCAGAGTAAAATAGAACTTGATTAGCTAATTAACCACGCTAATATAAACTGGCAAGAACACCAACTTCTATATATTTGAAAAGCAACTTATGACACAATATTGAGAACAGAGTCAAACATACTGACCTTTTTACATCAGGAAATCTGATGGGAAAGTAAATAACTTGGCACTTGGGTCTGATGATGCTTTCCAGATCCCTGGGTCTGTGATCAGGAATCAGCTTCATAAATTTTCCAATGGAAGTGAGAAATGACTCCATATTAAAAACTGAGTTGAATACCACCACATCAGCCACCAGGCTGTAAAGGGAAAAGATAAATCCAAGTGATGTGTCTACATTTATTCAGAGTTATTTTTATAACCCTAAGATCTCTGTGTATTAATCAGAGTTTATACTGCACCTTAGGTTTGCAAAGAACTCTGCATTTGTCATCATTATTTATCAAAATGCCTCTAATAGTTAGTTTCATTAGCATTATATCATGGGAAGGTGGATAGGCGGCAGAAGGAAGAGAAGACAGCAGAGGAATTAACTGATTTAATGGAATCACGTAAGATTTCAAACCAAAGCATAATTTTCCACAATGCCAGATACTTTCTATGTTACAAAAACAGTAAGTACAACAGGATCTTTTTTTTTTTCTGGCTCACCTACCCATGTCGGGTTTCTAAATCAGTGATGAACATCCTTTTGCACCATACTACTGAGAAATTTGCCTTACTTCTCACTACCTTCAAGAAGGTTAATTCAGATAGTTATTTCCATCCTAGAGCATGACACCTTCAACACTATTTGGTTAAAGTCTATTTCTTGCTTTAGCTCTTGCTTTGACAAACCATCTTACATTTTTAAAAACTCTGGGGCTACACAAGAAGGATTATATGGCATCTCTACAAATAACTAACTTTGTTATTACACTTGGGGTGGTCAGAGAAGTAGAAGAGATTAGTGGACGTGGATCCAGAAATCAAAATCACTAGGTCGGAAAAAAAAATCACTAGGTCCTACTGATTGCACAAAGGAATGTATTATAAAGGACCATAACATCATGCACAAAATAAATGTGCGAGTGACTACTGCTTTCGACTAACAGACTATGTTCCTGTTTAATATTTTTATTTAATATAAATGATCTCAAATATACTGTTATAAGCAAGTGTGAAAACAAAGTTTGTGTGTCATCACCATGTCAGCGGTTATAAGTTTTTTTGAAAACCAAAGAGCTCACATAAAAACCATGGGTAAGCTGGATAAAACCTGAATATGTACTATGATTCCTTTATGAATCAAAAATTGATTTAATAAATCATTGCTTTGATTTTTTTTAAGATGGCCTTTTTGCTTTAAGCAATGACTCAGTGTCACTGGATCTCAATGAAATACATATAAATGCTTTGATAAGAAGATATGCAAGATTAAATAGACAAAGCCATTAGTTTTATTTTACCCTAAAAATGATAGATCAAGAAAACTGAAACGAGGACGTTTAAGTCCACAGGACTGGGAAACACAAGGTAATAAATAGAGCACATAAAAAATAGGAATACCATAGTAAATTCTCAGTTTAGTTTAACTTATATGTACTAAGATAGCCAAAGTTCTCCTTATTTAAAACTAATGAAAGGAATCGGACTTGTCATTCCATTCTCCAAAAAGTTGCTTTTCCGTACAAGTCTTTTTTTCCCCCAGATGCAACCTAGTACAAATTTTGGGGGTGGAGGTGATTACAATGTAGATGATACAAAAGGATATAGAATGTCACGAAAGTGCTGAGTTAACACCAAGCAATAAGGAAACCCATATAATAATATACCAAAAGTTGAAGGATGTTTTACAGCTAGTCTGTTTTCACCATATGTCATATATTGTAATAGCGACCTACAGGTCATAATATACAGTTATGACATGTGTTCATAAGTCAGAGGGTCAGTGAAACCTCTATTTAAGGTGAGTGCTTATGTCAGTCATCTTTAAAGTCCTTAACTGCCACAAGTCAAGAAAAAAATCTGACAGTGCCAACAAAAGCAAAAGTCAGCAAGAAAACTAAAGAAACATTTGAGGAAGTAAGAGTAATACTTTTCTAAGAGAATCTGAACAGGACTGCTTCTGACACTCTTATTTCTCCTCTGGACGACTGTGAACCATTCCTCCATTACGAAGCTAACAGATGATCAAGTACACTTCTTTCTCTCCAAGCTTGTCTATCAGTTTACCCTCTCGAGAATGGCAATGCTGAAAAATCATGTATAAGCTTTTATACTCCCATTCCCTATGAACAAAAATAACCTGTTATGAAACGGAAAGATGAGAGATGGTGAGCTAAAAATTTTTAGATCTCTGCCCTCCCTCATAAGGCATGAAACCCAACTACTTACATTCTTATAAAACCATTCTTCGCAGAATTAAAGATCCGAGATAGTTTACAGAAATATTCTTTTTGGTGTATTTCCTCCCTGATATGAGGTGTAACTTCCATTGACTTTAAAACCCACCCATAAAGGGAAAAATAGACTTAATTTTTTTTTTCCCAGTGATTTCGCAGGGGTAATAAGCACACATTATTTGAGGAAAAGAACGATGTTAATTCAAGAAATCAAGATGATTACAAATGTGTTCCATATTGATAGAACACAAAATGATTTTATTTTTGTTTTTCAAACATATTTCCATTCTCTGTTTCAATATAAAATATTTTAATTTTATTGTGAAATTTTAAAACAGTTGCTTTTTTTTTATAAGACATTTGAAGTGAAGCTGTTCCACTCTATTTTGATAGCACTTCTACTTCACAACTGAAGCAGCTTGTAAAAATGATTGCAGGAAAACATTTACAAAATGCTCAAAATACAGAAGTATTTCCGTATAGTTGTTTTTCTACGTCGACTAAACTATGGAACATACTTGCAAAAGGTGTGGATCTGTTTAAAAACATCATCAATCCCAGTTGCTAATAACTGTTAATAAAGTTGAGTAAAATGTACCCAAATCACTGCCGAACTGAAAGCAGTCCTGCTCAGTCATATACTGGTACAGTTAGGTTGAATGGGATCCAACAGCAAAGCCGTTCCACAGAGTTACTGTTAACTACTTTGATTAACCAAGCTTCAGGAAATACACTCTGTTGAAGTAACAATGAAGAAGGACCATCACCTTTGAAATGTCATGGTGTGTTAAGGCTGTGCAATTTCAGAGGACTCAGTGAGGGCAAAACAATAACCACAACCTAAAGATTCATTTTCCACAGTTTTCTCTGTCTTATAAATAACAACAAAAATTTTTTTTAAATGGACAAAAACTCCTTGTTATGCTTATGCTTAATTTTTTTTAATTCCTCTGTAAATTTCTATTCTGATTTTAGCTGAATACAGTGAATGTGGTAGGTAAATCAGTGTTGACTAACTGCCCTTTTCTAAAAGTATGCCTTAAACAACAGATCGTGAAGTCATGGCGTAAAAGTCCCAGACAATCCTTCGACTATATTCTGAATGCTGTGAAAAATACAGAGTTGGACAATTATTTCAACATATAAATTAGATTGTTACATATACCTATTTTTTAAAAAAGGATTTGCTGTGATCTTATATATACTCTAGAAGCACAAGTATTTACTACCATGGAAATGTTTACATATCCACACCTACCTCGAAGTGTTTTTTAAATAGGTGTATGGTAGGTCTCCAACTTAAAAGCTAACCATCTATAAAGAAAACAGTGGCAATGGATGGAATATAATGATGCAATCTATACCTACCATGAAAGAATTTGGTTGTATCCATATTGGAAATCCCTCTCCTGACATTTCTTGACAGGATACACCAATTGGTTCTCGTGGAAGTACAGAATCTTTTTCAATTTCCCAAGGTCAGGCCGAAGGGCAGCCAGTTCGGTCAGGTTAAGCACTGAGCTTGCAAAGAGGATCCTAGGAAACAAGGAAATTAGGGTTTACTGTGCTGAGCATGCTTGAAGGGGTCATCCTTTGCCCTTCTTCTCTCCTCTTCCCTCATCCCACCCCAAGAAAAACATATCCCCTATAGGGACACATCAATAGTTAAGCCTTAATACCATGTAGCAGCATTCTAAGTTTTGATCTCTTAGAAAGCAGCTGCTAAGAACTATAAAAGCCCCGAATCTCATTGGTCTTCTCAGCTCAGTTGCTGAGAGATGCAAAATGAAAAAAAAAGCTGGATGGATTTTATTGAAAAAGGCAAGAAAAGCTCTATCTGAAGGACAAATGGAACAAAGATAAGGCTGACTGGGGAATACTTTGCTTGCCAGTTTCATTACACTTTACTTCTTTATGCAACCAACTACTGAAATTCAATATACAAGCAGGAATGGCACATGCTCATGTTATGACATAAACCCTTTTGATTTATGCAATAGACTTTTCTAGTGTGGTCTTTTTCTCTTGGCATGTTTTCTCCCTCTCCCCCTCCCCCTCTTTTTTTTTCTTTTTTTTTTTTTAAAGAATCCTGCAATGCTTGTTTTGTTTTATCTTTTCTTCTCCATTCCTGGATTGCTAATGGCACCAGATGTACTATCTGTAAAATCCCTTGTATAAAACACTAGTCTAAAAAATGATGAAAAGCTAATTCTCTGTTTGGGGGATAAAGGTAAACTGAAAGCTTACCTATCCATGTTTATAAATGAGAGTGAAGTGTCTCTTTACTCACTCCACAAACATTTGCCAAATGCCTACTATGTACCAGGTTCTAACCAGGAAGGAATGAAAAAGATGAATAAGACAGTCCATCAGGATGCATGCTTCCTGTAACAGTGACAGGTACAAAGTATCAGAGGAACAAACAGAAAGGAGTAATAGCTATCTGGGACAACCTGGAAATGTTTCACTGGTGAGATGTCTACCATATATGGACACAAAAGAGGTACAAATTATAGTCCCTGGGCGACTGAGGACATTTAGATGGCATGATTTTGATGGAATGCCACCTTTATAACATAATGTAGCATCATTTGACCCCTACAGCTTTAATTCCAATTCTAAAAAATGAGGCTCAAGAAGGTTAAGAGTTTTTTTCTAAGATCACACTGGTAAAAAGTGGCAAAGCAGGGACTCCCTGGTCTTCTAAGCTGAAGAGTTTTTCATTACTCCATGGATATGAATTGGCTGTGGACCACCTACACTGCAAATGCTTTTTTCTGTACTTAATGAATACAAAATATCACCCTTGTTATTACCATGATTACAGCTACTATAAATCCTCCCTTGCTGACAATCCAAATGGTTAACTTCAGGTGTTTATATAATCTGCAGCACTAGCCTTTCACATGAGAAGAATGATTACATAATAAGTTAATATATCATAAATAGGAATTCAAGTGTCTTCTTCATGGGCTAGAAGAAGTATATAAGACCAAAAGGCAGCAATCCCTCTTTAAAACCATATGGCTGTATTACCGTTACATACTTCGTTAAAAAAAAAAAAAAAATCTTACCAAAGAAATGCATTTATTTTTTAAACTGTCTATTTTGCACTCAACTAAAGCAAACAGAAAAAAACTATGATCAGATAACGTGCTATTTTGTCCAAAGATATCGCCACACCCTCCCCGCCATCACCACCAAGTATAAGCCTTTCTAAAACTTAGATGGAAAATTCTGAAATATGAAGGTATTCGCATTATCTACAAATCTGATACTTAGCAGAGAGAACTACAAAATATTAATCTCAAACAATATTTTCCTTAAAAGAGAATGAATGTCAACTCGTGTGTTTAGTTATTGAATAATACCCCCTCTCCTGTCTATCCCCCCTCACCTCACACTCATATTCTTAATCAAGACCCAAGCAAGCACAATGTTTTTCACACAGCAAAAATTTATTAAATGCAGTCCCCATATTACATATGAATTACAAAAAAAAAAAAAAAAGGCACCTTTATCATAGATCTGGTAAACAACACCTTAACCAAGTAATCAAACTTAATATAGCCAATAATGGAACAAAGTGATATCACGTATTTCTGCACTGAAAATGATACAAGATTACCAATACAGCATTCCTGCCAAAAATGCCTGATCTGAATTTTGTCATGAGGATAAAATCAGAAAAATATTTAGCAAAATAACTGGACTGGATCTTCAAAAATGTCAATATTATAAAAGAAAAAAAAGTCTATATTAAGAAAATAAGGAGACATGGCAACAAATGCAATGTGTTCTGCTTGATTGAATACAGCTATAAAGGACATTATCAGGACAACAGAAAAATTTTGATTATCAGCTGACTATAAGATTGTACATTTTTATCCATCTTAAATTTCTTAAGTATAATAATTGTGTTGTGGACATATCAGAAAATACCTTTATTCTTAAGTGATACATGCCAAATTATTTAAGTGTGAAGTATCGCGATGCCTGCAAGTAATTTTTAAATGGTTCAGCCATTTAAATAACAATAACAATAAATATTCAAATGTATGTATTGTACAGACAGGAACAGCAAAGGTGCAAAACATGAGCAATTGATTAATGTAAGTGAATTGTATACAGCAATTCATTTTTCTATATTTGCAAATTTTTGATAAATTATGCACTTATAAAACTACAAATTGGGGGGATTAAGCATTAAATGGCAGTGAGTAGAAGAAAAAAAAAAAACATGCTACACTCCATAAACAATAGAAACATAATATATGTCTTTCTAGTTGTAATTCAATTATTAATTTCCTCCATGAGGATGACCCTCAGGGTTGACCATCTGCAGCAAATGTTTAACCAAGGTGAGCCCTTTCCTCTATTCCTATTACGCACCCCTCTCTCCTTACCCTACTTATCAGCTGATCTGTACTCAGGGAATCCAAGAATCCAAACCTAAAGTTGAGCCTTTCAAAAAAGCCCTCCCAGATTGAAAAAAAAAAAAGTAATACATTCAGAAGTGAAAGGGCAATGATTTTCATATTAACCATTTGGTACTGCCCACGTCAACACTTCCTTCAGTTTGTTTAATCATGAAAAGGAAATTCATTGTATTTTCACAATGAATCTTGAAATAGCCCTCACTACTACTAAACTGTAGAAATTACATCCATCATCAGTAAAGTATTTCTCTTTGCCTTTTCACTTATAAAGTGGTTGTTAAATTAGGCAGTAAACAATTCCTCAAACATTTAGCTCAACAACACCCAAAAAGAAGTGATGAATATGCCCACAAAACAAATGCAGGCATGATTCATAGACAATTTTACTTTGCCCCCTACCATCAGTTTTAAAAAGAAAAGTTTATAATGATACACTGAATAACATCACTCCATCAGCACTTAATCCCTAGGATACCAGCGTTCATTCTGCTTCAGGTATTATTTAAGCAATAAATTCTAAAAAGGTGAGCTTCATCATTCCACAGTGGGTCTCTGGCAGGAAAGGGCATAAGGTGACAGCAAACACCACTAGGAACAGGATAATTCCTGACAGCTGCTGCTTGAGTACAAGTTAAATTGAACAGTTTATCGCAGTATGAAGATGTTACAAGGTTTTACGTTTAATATTTTTAAATTAACATAAAACCCAGAGAAAGCAGTTGGGCAATCTTTCACAAACATGACATACTACAATCCCTGTATAAGCTGGATTAGTACTTATTACTATGCTACTACAGAATTAAGCTGTTTTTAGACCACCAAAGAGCTTTAAATTGCAACTTTTGTCTCTGTAAGAGAAACCTATATTTAAAATGTCTGCTAAATTTAAATTAACGGCTACATCACTAGCTTACCATCTCACCAAAAGTACAAGCAAGCTGCTATTATAATAGTCTAACCAAAACAGCTCTGTGCTTGCAGGCACATTAACACCATTCCATGTATTTGTGATTATATCCACATACATGTTTCGATTGTTTCCAATGCACATTATATCTACAACTTGAGTCATATTTGCTTAAAGAATCCAAAATAAGTTACAACAATGAAATTAAAGGTTAGGGATTTATTTCTTTCTTGCTCAGTTCAAATAAAGCAGCGGCTTGCCCTGTACCCTATTTTCTTAATATGTACAAGAGATGCTGAAATATATCCAAACACTGTAGGAATGTGAACATTATTACAAAGATAAATGTTTTTGTATCTTAAATTATATGGAAAGGTAGTGAAATGAGGAAAGAGGGCAGGCATTCAATATTCCACCTACTGCCACATACAATCTAGTAGTAATCTTTCAAAGACTAGGTCATCTGACTCTTGTCCATAATATCTTTTAGTATGTTCCCCATCCTCCAAAAACACTTATCACATAATGGAACATAGTACACAATTTAACACAGCAATAGATTGGGTTGTGTTCAACCAAAAACCAAACCCACTGTCATCGATTTCGACTCATAGCGACCCTATAGGACAGAGTAGAACTGCCCCACAGGGTTTCCAAGGAGTTCCTGGTGGATTCGAACTGCCAACCTTTTGGTTAGCAGCCAAACTCTTAACCACTATGCCACCAGGGTTTCCTGGGTTGTGTTACTCATACTTAAATAATTTCTTACACAACTTCAGTTAGGCCTTTAACAAAAGAGTAAATTGCATTCTTTTAAGCAGTGTAACTTTGCTCAATACCTTAACTCCTTGTCTAGATCCATGCTGCTCAGCCTCCTTCCCAAGGTCTCCCTTGATACCTACTCTCCAGGACCCTCAATCAACATAGTCCAGTATTAATTTCTGTGATGACAGAAATGTTTTCTATCTGCACTATACAATATAGTAGCCACATATGGCTATGGAGCACTTGAAATGTAGCTAGTGTAACTGAAGAACTAAAATTTTAATTTAAATTAATTTGATCAATTTAAGTTTAAGTTAATTTAAGTTTAAATTGATCAAATTAATTTAAATGAAAATTTAAATAGTCATGTGTGCCTAAACCCACTGTCTTTCGTTGATTCCAACTCATAGCCACCCTACAGGACA